TGCGCTTCCTCGGCCGTTGCCGCCGCGGCTCCGGCCTGCCGCACCGCCCATGCCGCCGGGCTCCGCGCGCCGGGCCCGGGGTGGCGGCAGGGGCAGGGAGGAAGTGGGCCCGGCGATCCCCAAGCCCTCACGGGCGACCGACGCGTCCCCGAGGCACCAAAGCCCGAGAGTGCCCTGGGAAGGAGGACGCGGAGACTCGAACTCGGAACGCTAGGAATGCGAAGGGCCTTGGGGAGTCCTTCTGACCCCAGGGTCAGCCGGATTCGTTATTGTAGGCAGGCCGGCCCTCTCCCCCAGAACCCCACTCCTGAACCACGAGCTTGGGCAGGAAGGGGTTAAGTGCGTGAGGTACCTCTCTTGCAGCCAGACTCCACAGAGGAAGAGCAGACCTCTCAGTCTTTTCAGGGAGGAGTCACGATTTGATTTGCCTTTATGTGGACAGGTGAATGAATGAGCAGAACAAGTAACCTACCCTCTTCTGGGTTAAAAAAAAAAGGAAAAAAGTAGAACTCTTTTTAAACTATCTTTACAAAAGATAATTCATATGGCAGTCTCTGGGCTAGGCACATAACATTATCGGTTTCTTATGTACATTATTTAATCTACATAATCCTTTCAGGCTGACTTTATTAATCCCATTTCTCAGATAAGAAAACTGAGGTGCACAGCAAAATAATTTGAAGTCCTGCAGGTAGCAAGCAAGAGCCTGAAAGAGACTCAGAATCCAACTTCCTTGCAATACTCCAGGCTACTCTTTCTCCCTAGGCCCCTGCCCTAGAAAACGTCTGTGCCACTTGGCTGAGGCTGCCAGGGCCTGAGCTGAGAAAGAAATGGAGAAATGTGGCCAAGAGCTCCCAAGGCTGGGTTATTCCAAGGTCGCAGTGCAGCCTCTACCCATACCTTCCTGCTTCCAGAAAGATAACCTGGCTTGAATACTGTGTAATCCTGTGGCAAAGAGCCTTGTGGCCGGAACACAGGTTCTGGGATAATGATAAAACTGAACATTGCTGAGGGAGCGCTTACCTAAGCGCCCTTCTCATTTCATCTTTACCACAAACCCTATAAGATGGGGTGCAAATTCCTCTTCAGGACCAAATCAAACCCAGTACCACTGAGTTAGTTCCAACTCTAGTAACATGACAGATTAGAACTGGTCCATCGGCTGCAAATATATATAGGAACAGTCTTTCTCCTCTTTAGAGCAGCTATTGGATTCTATCCACCAACCCTGTTTAACAACGCAGAATATTTTAACCACTATGTTGTGAGGAGAGACCGGTCCTTGGAGAAGGACATCATGCTTGGGAGGGTGGAGGGACCACACAGGACTGGGATAATCGGGATGGGAGTGTCAGAGACAGTGCGATTGGCACAGGACAAAGCCGAATTTAGGGCTGTTGTACATAGGGTCGCTATGAGTAGCTAGCGACTCGACGGCACATAACAACAACAACAACAACCCCACCAGGCCTCCTATGTGTCTCATTACACATTATGTAGTAATATCTACATTTTAAAGAGAAGGAAACTAAGCCAAGAAGACTTAGGTAATATTTCTAAGTTAACTTCCTATAGTTAACAGCAGAGTTAAATCTCAAACTTGGCTTCAAATACCTGTGATAGTGTTTTTTGTATTAAATTTCTCAGAGCCTTGATATATCTGTAAGATGAAGATGACTAGTTGCTGCGGAATTCATCCCAACTCCTGGTGACCTTACGTGTGCGTCACACAAAGCTTTTCTAGTCATTAAATTTTCAGAGGTGAACCAGGCCTTCCTTCTGAGGTGCCTCTAGGTGGACTTGGACTCCCCAGCCTGGATTAGAAGCTGAGCACGTAGCACTTTGCACCACAATGAGCATGATTTCTGTTATACATTGTTGTTGTTAGGTGCCATTGAGTCACCTGTTACACATGGCAACTGTGAGCAGTGCATCAGAACCTTTCCTCAGGATCTCTGATACGCTCGAGCCCATTGTTGTAAAAGGTGTATAGATAGGGTCATTGTTACAAGTAGGGTCCTGAGAAGTGGGAGCTGGCTCAGCCCTAACAACACAACAGGAACTTGGAAATGGAAGGTACCTAAACTCTCACAAATGCTGCAAAATCTGGAAGCGGACAGGTGCAGGGTCGGGAATGTGGCTTCCCCAAAATTCTGACAAGGAGCTTAGACTCCTAGGGGCCACCCTGCAGTTGATGCCACCGAGAAGCTCTGCCACAGTTGGACGAACAATACTTTCCTCCATCGTCAGACAGAGGCAGGAAATGAGTCACAGTTCTTCCTTAATCTGTGAGCAAGAGAACCCCGTTGAGGGGAAATAGGGACAGGGCTGGCCCCACCTAGCCCTGGAGTCCTTAGTGCCCTTCCCACTTGCCCTCTGACCAAGAGGAGAGGTCAAACCCAAAGAAAGCAATACTGTCTGCTCCCAGTGTCCGTGCCCTTCCTGGAAGTTGTTCCAGGAGACCCAAGAGGGCCTCTGAAGGAGGGCGCACACTCAGCTGATTCCCACCCAGATGGCAGCACCAGACCCTCCCAGCTTCTTGCTCAGGGTCCTTGGCAGGAGGCTGGAGTTTAAACAGTTGCTCAGTGGTGTATCACTGAGGGGGTGTGGGAGGAGGCGGGCAGGTGAGCTGTCCCTGCCTCACTCATACCTTCCCTCTGTCCCTCGTGTGTTTTGATAATGTCCCATAACATGGTATTTTCACAACAGTTCTGCTAAAATAACCCCACAAAATGTGAAAGCCCTTCTTTTTTTTTGTTTGTATTCTTTTGTCTATTTTTGTTGTCCTTATTAAGTAATAAAAACTTAATTTTGCTTGAAAATCCAAAAGATACTTCAGAGTTGTTTTTTGGGGTCCCTCCCCTTTCAGAGCATTGCTACAACATTCACTTTTAATACACCATACTTTTGTATTCTGGAAAGCCCTTCTTGAGACCCCAACCTCAGGAAAGAATCAAGCCTTGTCCCAGCTGGTGACCTCTAACAGCTGTTGTCATTATATATAAGCCCTGTGAGCAGGTATTGTTCTTATTATCACTTCTAGGCCACTTATCTGAGGCTCCTGGACTGAATGCCCTGGGGGCCTCAATTCTTCGGTATAATCAGCTGTTCCTGGGATGGGACCTTAGCAACAAAAGATGTGGCCAAAACCCCTGGAGAAATAGGAGTGGGGACAACCTGGCCAAGAGAAGTAGGGCCTGAGGGGCTCCTAGCTTCCTGTCAGGGCTTCTGGAAGCAAGTCTCCCCAGCCAGGCCTCTCTTTATCTGAGCATGGGGCCTTAAAATTAGGAAGCTCTAGAGAGTAACTATACCCCTAAATGCACCCTGTCATCCTCATCTTCAGTTACAACCTTATTGCCTCTTAGGGTACTCTTGGTTTCCCTTCTCTCAAAACCTCATCCTCATTCTCAGTCATCGTAAAGCCTTCAACAGCAGCCTCTATAATTGGTTTTAGTAAAAATGTCTACACAACATCCATACAGGCATACAACACAGTTTGCTGGGTATTTTCAAGGAGATGGTGGAGTTGGAGAAACTTTCAGCTGCTTCTGCAATAACTTTTATCATAATAATTTCAAAATTAGACCCCCAAGTACCACACCACTGAATAAAGCATGCTCGTACTTCACCATCCAAAACACCTGGGACCTTTCCAGTTCCAGCAACTTCTCCCTGTGGCTTCAGGCTGCTCCTCCCTAGTCCAAGGGCAGGGCTCTTCCAGGTCTGGCTAAACCACTTTGGGAAAACCTTTATATGACAGGCAACCAGGGTGTTTGTGGGTGGGGGGAGGAGCTAGCAGTGACTTGGCGGTGACATATGTGGTCAGCTGGGATTGGATCCCAGCAGGGCCGGCCCTTCTCATTTTCCCATTTACTGGGGCTGGGGCTACACTTGCCTTTTACCTGCTGACGCCATGCATCTTGTTCTCATAGTTTCTTGCTGATTTTAATGGTTTCTTTCTGCCAGCCCAATGCTCTCAGTGCCCCACCAGTGTTACCGCAACTGTTGTTAGGTGCCTCCATCTGACTATGACTCAAAGCGACTCAATGAACACCAGATCCGATGGGAAACTTGCTCTGTCCTGAACCATCTTCATGTCTCTGTCATGTGCAAGCCCATCGTGGTAGTCACTACGTCCGTCCATCTCATTGAAGGTATTCCTCTCTTTGACCTTTCACCTTTCCCAGTATGATGTCTTTTTCCAGGGACTGGTCCCTCCTGAAAACATTCTCAAAATCTGACGGGTGAAACTTTACCCCTTTTGCCTCTAAAGAGCACTCTGGCAGCTCTTCGCCCAAGCACATTTTTTCGTTCTTTTGGGAATTCATGGTATGTTCAAGACTACAATTGTGGTGGTGGTTGTGTAGTGTTAAGTACTGACTCATAGCTGACCCTCCAGCAGGTTTTCAGAAGCTGTAAATCATACAGGGGAACTCTGGTATTCTGCTGGTTAAAGAGTTGTGCTGCCAACCCAAAGGCAGGGAGTTCAAATCCATCAGCTGCCCTGCGGGAGAATAAAGGGCAATCTCCTCCAGTGTGATTTCTTGCCTCTGAAACTGGCTAAAGGGTCAGCAATGAGTCAGTTCTGATTTGACAGTACATAGCAACAGCAGCAACAACAAATCAACCAGGAGGAGATTGCATTATCTTTCTCCTGAAGAGCAGCTAGTGGATTTGAACTATGTGTCTTTGGGTTGGCAGTGCAACTCCTTAACACTAAGAACTTAACAC